AATTCCATATTTTCCAATTTGTCCATTTACCAATGGTCCCATGGGGAAACCGAGAACATAGCATAGTTGTGAAGAGATAACAATATTTCGAATCTCAGTATCATTAAAAATTACCCGAAAACGATCAATACTGTCCAAATATTCAAATTCAATGTCAGAATATAAATCTTTTGCTTTAGATTCCTTTTCTTCAATCAAAGTAACTGTTTTCTCATTTATCAGATCGTCAGTATTTTTCTCCTTTTGCTCCTTAAATATCTCTTCAGTTGGTATAATCTCTTCTGAGGAATCCAAATCTAAAGCTGGGCTTTCCCTACTTTTCTCCTCCCACCTTTCTTCTTCTTCTTCGAAACTTTCCTCATCAGGTACTGTATCTTGCTCTTCATCTATTGGCTGCTCAAGGGGTATAGGCTCTCCATATTTATCTAATCTTCTTGCATGCTTTAATTGTTCCTTGCTTTCTTTCAGTTCTCTATCTTTTCTTTCATTTTCCTCTACCTCTCTGGCCTTGTCCTGCTCATAACCATGTCTGTCCTTGACAACCTCAACCATTTCATCCGTAATTACGGGAGCAGGAATTGGTACTGGTTTACCTTGATCATCTGTCTTTAGTGCATCTTCAAAATATTCCGGATGAGTTCTCTCTTCAATTTTTTGCATCTCCTTAATTTCATTTCTAGTTGGGGGAATTGGCAGCTCAAAATTTTTCCATTTCTTGTAGGCAGCATGGTGTATTGCTGTAAATCTATTTCTTCTGTAGGAAGCCAATTTACTTAAATTGTCAATCTCCTTCCCTAGTTTATTCTTTTCTTCCTCATTTTGTTCTTGTGAATGGGCATCTCGTTTTTCTCGAATTTGTCTATGTAATTCCTGTAGATCACCTAAATTTTTCTTTAACGCTGTCCAATGATCTACAGGGTGGTCCTCGAAAAATTTCTGGACAAATTCTGAGTGTGTATTTGAATTTTGCTGATGAAATTCATCTCTAGTAATTTGCAAGTCTCTTTCAATAATAGCAGATTCCAATGCTTCCAAATTCTTACGCATACGTTTTATTGAATTAATAAACCTCTGAATCTCATCACCAGATCGAGCATTCTTAACACCCTCTTCCCTGCTTTCTCTAATTTTGTCTTCTAGTTCAATGTATCTTACTATTATATTTATTTCCATCTTTATTACTTCCTCGTGATAATCATCTGGGTGTTGTTCCAAAAACTGGTTTGCTATTAGTCCATCATCACGCCTATCCCTCTTATTAGCTTCCTCTGTTAAGAGACGAATTTCCTTCTTTTTACCTTCTGAAAGGGAATGTAGGTGATCAAGTTCTTGCTGTAATTCTCCCTTATGTGTATCATCCTTCTCATTAAGAATTTGTTTTGTTTTTTCCTCTACATCAGATTTATGTTGTTCTAATTCTTGTTCATAATCGCGTATGGCTTCCCAGTAATTGTGTGGATACTGATTAAAAAATTCCTTTACCCATAATGGCACAGTATCTACTTTATCTGCCTCTCTCTTTCTTCGTTTCTTAGCTGGCTCCACTACTAAATTAATTTCTGGGTCAATGATAACTTCATCCTCCAAAGTATCGATTGATACATCGCGTCTTTTCCTAGGTTTCTCTTTATTGGATAATACAAGTTTTAAAAAGAAGCTGAGTCCGTTGGGTGTTAGCTGTGTTGTTTTGGGGATTCCAATTCTATGCGGTTTCTTATTTTTGTAATTAATTTCGATCCATTGTTTAATGTCGGTGCCAATAGTTGCAGCCCATGATTGTGGGTATTGGATACTGTAGAGTCCACATACCCAGTTTCCACCTTGAAACTCTATTGGTTTCGGAAGATGCACTCGATATTTATTGGGTTTATTATCTGGGTAATCACTAACATTGCTAGGAAGAACAACAAAGAATGTATTAGCCATAATTTATTTTAAAGATAATAATAAATTGAACAATTAAAGTGAAAAAATAATTAAAAATGATTTATGGGAATGAAAAATTGGGCTTTTATACAAATTGATTTTCGTCTATCCATTGGGGTTGAGGGTAATCAAAAAATTTAACAAAATATTCTTTTCCTCCATCTTTTTTCATTCTGCTCTTAATAATCTTCTCAATTCTGTAGCTGGTATTCTCATCCTTCCTCACTCTGGTTAATTCCTCAGGGTAGAAATATCCTTTAAATACTTCCCCATTATCGTCACGGATACGGTATCTGTTGGGGTTAGCCTTCTTTTTGACAAGATCTATTTGAAGAATTTCATCGCTATAATTTGGGAGATAACCCTTTGAAAAAATATTTTTGTTTCTGCTCATACGTACATGATCATCTTCCTTAAATCGTGGGTTTTTTCTAGGTTTATTCTTCCCAATAGGACCAAATACCATTTCTCTAATTTCCTTTGCATTGTTAAAGTTTACATCAACCGGTCTTAATCCACCTAAAACCCTACACTTTGAATGATTTATTGCGTCAACTATTTTCGGTAATGCCTCAGTCCATTTTAATGTATGCTTCTCACTCATAAATCTATACAGTCTCTGTTTAATGTTTCTAATACATCGTTCAGCTAGTGACGCTTTAACTGATGAAAAGGTTGCCGTGTATTTTTCAATATCTTTTTCTCTGAAAAATGCAATAATTTCCTTGCTGCAAAATTCAGTTCCCTTATCACTAAAAATCCGGTGTGGGTGCATTTCCATTCTTGCCAAAATTTTTTCAAATGCATCAATCATATCATTTGACTTTTTAGTGCGAACAGGTTCAGCGAAAACTCTTTTGCTTAACACATCGATTGCCACAAGCGCATAATTTTTCCCGTTGTTTTGCCGTGATAATTTTTGGAAATCTGCCAAGTCGCACTGAACGTCTGTCATATAGCCAGATGGGGTTGTTATTGATCTTTTGAAGTGCACACGCCTAGGGCGGTGGATTGTGTAAGTTCTGTGGCCTTCCAAATATTCCTGCACATCCTTTTTTTTAATACTCGCATCTTTTTTTCTAGCCTCTGTCCATAACTGGTTTACACCAGCAAATCCTGCCGGATTCGCTGGATCATTGTAAAGTTTATCTAATATCATTAACACTCTGTTGGAAGTCTCCATTTTGATTCAGCTATTTCTTTGGATTCAGGTATTTTTCTTTTTTGCTTTGTATTAGTTCTTTTTGGTGTACAACTTTCTCGTGCCTTCTCTATCAACGGCCAAATTTTGTTATCACTTTTTAATTTACTTTCTAAAACTGATGTCCCCGGTGGTGTCAACTCTCCCCATCTCAATTTCCCACTTATTCCTGTACGGAGAATACACTCTAGAGATTTTTGTGCATTGCTTCCCTGTATTTCTTTTCCTCCCTTCTTACTTAAAATTTTTCCATCTGTGCTCACATCATATTTATCTAGATTTTCCTGTTTCATATTTTCAAAAATTTCCTCTGTCTTTTCTCTTATTGTTGACTTCTTTGGTTCCATTTTCCTCTTGGAATCCGGAGATTCCTCCCCGGCCGTATGCATACTAAGATCATCTTCGTTTAAATCTCCACCTTCATTTAACGGGGACAATTTTGGTGTGGGTATATTTTGTTCAAGGACTTGTTGATTACTTTCTTTGGAGCTTGTTTGGAGGAGGGGAAGCAATTTTTTAATTTGCTCCAGGGCTGGATCTTCCATTTGCCTTACTGAAACATTCATTGGTCTCTCATTCTGATCCTTCAGCATGTGTAGATAACGTCTCAATTCCTGATTATAATTTATATTCTTTAATTCTGTGTTGGCATTTTGACTTTTGATATTTTCCAAATTTTCGCGTGTAAAATCCAAATTGATATTTCCAGTTTCCGGTATGGGGTGAGTAAGTAGTCCACGATATATATCCTCAGGAATTAATATAAATTTATTTGCCATTTTTATTAGTTGCTTGTTAATGTTTTTGTTAATTCGATAATGATTGGGGTTAAAAGGGCAGGGAACAATCCAATTGGTAAACCAGTTCCTTGTTGTATTACTGTACGTCGGGCTCCTCTTTCCGTTTTTAATCTGCTCACACGACGAACAAAATCAGCGAATGGTAGAAGACGAGATTTTTGTCTCTTAGTTAATTTAAATTGATCACGTACAATATTGTAGCAAATTTCAGTGAGAGAAAGTAATTGGTCGATTGATGCTTTTCTTAAAAACCGTCTTCTTTTAGTTAATGAGCGCGTTTTTGCCAGCTGTTTGAGAAACTGTAGGTTGTCCTTGACAAGTTGGCTAATTTTCGTTGACATTATTTTTAATTAGAGGAATTCTTGGGTAAAAATATAATTGGTAATGAGATGTAGGAGTCTTCTGATTCTTTGTCTGTAAATATGTTTGTTCTTAGTCTAAGTGTTGGGTCTGATGAGGGGTGTAAATCGATAAATAGGTATGAATAATTACTGCTGCTTGTAGCTTGTCGATATGCGTCTAGAAAATAATTTAATCTTCCTGGGAATAGTTGTACTCCTAGATTTCGAACGGCCAATGCACTATTTGGTGCGCGGGTTAATACAATATACATAGAATTTTGACGTGCGACCCTGAGTTTTTTCTCGAAGAGATTCTGTGTGATGAATATTATGCCAAAATTAAGATGATGAGATTTCTTTGTGAAAAGTTCCGATAAATATTTTTCGTCAATTGAGTACATTAGGTCATCGAGGATGACTAGAGAGGGTTGTTGTTGTTTCTTAATAAGATCCTCAGGGGGAACTCCGAAGTAAACTGAGACTCCGGCTCGCTGTAGTTCTGGAACAAGTGGGTTATATTCACCATAGCAGTAAAGTATAGATTTTGGAATAGGCTCAATAAGTTTATCAGAATTTGAAATTAATTTTCGTACAAGTGTACTTTTGCCAGTTGAACTTGGACCGCTAATAATACAACCAAATGGAAGTTTTAGTTTTAAATCTTTATTAGAAAATAAATGATAATTCATGTTTAAATTATTTGTTGAAAATTAAAAATATAAATAAGAATGATTAATGATTAAGAGGGGTAATTGAATTATCGTTTATTATTTTTTCTTTATCGTCTTCTTTTATATTTTCTTTCGTTTCTTCGTTCTCTACTTGAGCCTTCTTCTGTGTAAACTTTGACAAAAATTCCTTGACACTCATTTGCTCATTACCGGTGATAAACTGTTTTTCATTCCAGACTTGCTCTTTGTGTAAAATATTGAAATTCTTCCCTTTTGACCGTACACGGAAAACACATTGTTGAGGAATTTCATAAATATGATCAAACATCACTACTTTCTCTGATTTTAGGCGGTTGCAATATAAGGTTACGTCCTTTGGAGTAACAATAAAATCTATGTCCACATTTTCTCCCCTGCAACTTTTACATTTTCCTGCCATGTCAAACTCCACGAAACGTGTGGTTATGAGGCGTGGTGACGAAATTGTCACACCAGTAGAAGATACCGTAAATAACACCTCAGGGAGTACTTTTTCCAAGAGCTGGCAATTATTTTCGATTACTGACATTTTTCAAGAAATTTTATAAATGAATTCAAATTTTTGGCGGAAGTTTGATCTTGGGGGGAATTTTTCAGTATTTATACTCTGAAAATGGGCGTGGCCTCCGAGAATTTGGGATTAATTTTTTCCTAAGTTAATGAAAAATAATACAATTCAAAAATATTTATTTAGAATTAAAATGTTACATTTAATGAAATCAAAAATAAATAACAAAGTTGACAGAAAACATTAATCATTAATCACTTTTTCAATTTCTGTATATTCTTTTCATCCCAGTCAGCAACAATATCCTTGAGCTGCATATTTAGCTTCGCGCAGGTTTCGCATATTTCAAAGCAGATTCCGATGTTTCCATTTTCCTTCTGAGTGAATTTATTTTTATCATTGTAAAGCGCATTGGCACATTTTTTGCAAAGTTTAATTTCAATCCTAGGTGTTTCTCTTATGCGCACAAGTTTCCATAGAATACGCGGATTTATACTGTTACTTTTCTCAATTTTCCCATTCTCAACTTTTGAAGCAGAGGCTTTTGGCTTGTTTGCCTTTTCTTTTTCTTTTTCCTCTTCCAATTTAATTATCTCTACTTCCTGCTCAATTTTTGGCTCATTAACTAATTCCATTTTTGGGATCTTTTCTTTTTTTAATCCGCTCATTTTTATTAATTTAAAATAGTATTTTTAATGAATGAAGAAATGAATGAAAAGTTGAAAATCCTTCGCCTTATATACTCCTCCTAAGCTCCGCCCTTTCCTAATATTTCGAAATATCTGTCAGTTTTCAAGGTCAAGTCTTTGGGTATAAAAGGCGAAATTTTTGTTCAACTTAACAATTTATCAAGTCATTCATCAATCATTCTAAATTAATCAATAAAATGACCTCTATTTTGGATGAGATTTCTAAAAAATTGAATTGCCCAATTTATTTGGTGAGATACAGATTAATGTATCAGGAAAATGCCGATTTGATCGCAAAATTTATAAATGAGAAAGGAAAGTTAGAGACAAATTATTCTGATAGGAGAGGATTATATAGCAGAGTTAGATGTGACGGAATTACAACTTCAGGAGCACATTTTGTCAAAGCCTTCGGTGACTTAGCTTACCCATTCAACATATCGGTTGCGGCATATTTCTTTGCTCACCACAAGATAAAACTCCAATATCCGTTTCATCAATGTGTTATAGAAAGAACATGCACAAAGAATGGAATATGTGAGAGATACTACCCTCTAGAACTTTTATGCTTTTCCCCCACCTCACCTGCGTCACCTATAAGTTGTTCAGAATTTGGGGCTCGACGTACACAAGCAACTTCGTCATCATCAACACTTACTCTCAACAGTATTCCGTTATCCCTTGGAAGTTTTCCACCTACACCTATTAAGAAAAAATCTAGACCAGGAATATTGTGGATTGAAATAGAAGGTAAACCGAGCCAATGGGAAAAACGCAATGTTTTGATATTTTGTGATTAATTAATTTGAAAATTTTATTTTAAGTACATGTTTATTAAATAATTTTACATAAAAATGTTAAACATTAAAAAATAATTTTATAAATTTTTGAAAAAATCGATAATGTTTGAAATAGGAGGTTCGTATAAAAATCGCCATCTTGAATACATTAAGTAATCTGTTCGATTATGTTTTCCAGATTTGAACTTTTCGTCCCAAAGATCCCAACGTAGAATCCAACGCCCCATATTTTTTATTTCACGTTTTCTTGCTGAGTCTGTTTTGTTCAGATGATAGATATCCTTTACAATCCATTTCTTAAGTAATCTTTCCCCTACATCAGCTTTATTCATCGACTGATTGCTTAATTTATCTAAGCGTTGAATCTCCCTTGAGTTGTTTACATCTCTGCCAGGAAATATTGGTGGTGGTGTTCTCCGCCATATTGGTATTTCCACTGAACTATTTTTATCACTGATTGGAAACATTGGTGGTGGTGTCCTCCTCCATATTGGTATTTCCACTGTTGTATTTTTTCCTCTGTTAGGAAATAGTGGTGGCGGCGTTCTCCGCCATATCGGTATTTCCACTGAATTATTTTTATCTCTGTTAGGAAATATTGGTGGCGGTGTTCTCCGCCATATTGGTAATGGCGTCCTCCGGTATAATGTAGTCACTAATTCTTCTCCCTTCCATGGTTCGTTGTCAATCCTATCTGCCACTAAGGACGGAATAGTTATTAATATAATTGAAAACATTAACATTTTGAATAATGTATTTTATTAAATTATGAATTGCTTGTATTCTAAGTAAACTGGTAATTTGTTATAATAAAATATTTTTCGGTGAAATATCATTTTTCATTTAAAGACATAGCACGTAAACTTTCCAATAGGGTGTACTGTATACATCACAATGTTGTATACTGTAACTGTGTCATCCACCTAGTGAGTAGCTCTCCATTACACCCGCCAATAAGAGGGAAAGCGTGGAAAGTGTAGATATTCTTTAACATTTTACTGAAAATATGCGTTTTTCTCTTAACTTTGTACCATTTTTATCTTTTAAACCTTAACTTTTATTCAATTGTTTCTTCACATCCTTAACTTTTATTCAATTGTATCTTCTATCGCTTAACTTTACATTTTTACCCCAAAAACCTGGATCTTGCATTACTTAACTTAGCCTAAATTATATCTTCTAACTCTTAACATTGCAACAATTGTATCTTATAATCCTTAACTTTGTATCAATCTTATCTTATAATCCTTAACTTTTTCTTAAACCCTAAAAGTAATTAAACATTTTAATAATATAATAATTTATCAACAAATTTAAATACAATTTAAAGAACATTGTGAAAATATTACAATACAATTGAAAAATTATTGTGAAAATTACAATACAATTGAAAAATTTTGTGAATAAAGTAAAGGACAAAAATAATAAAATACGGTGGAAAATATATTGTGAAAAATGAAATTATTTTTGTCCGAAATTTACAATTTTGAGATTTGAAATTATCCCTTTTTGTATGATTGGTCTAAATATTTTCTTCATTTTAGTTGAGTAAACTATACCATCCTTCACACTGCGGCGTATAAAGTTTGGGTTCTCGATCATAATTGTTCCCTCATCATCATCTTCCTCGTTTTCGTTTTCCCCATTTGCATATTTAAGTACGCTTTCTTTGAAAGTGTCAAAGTGGAGGATTTTGCAGACATCAGCTGTTAAAGTGATGCCGCGTACTTTCAGAACAGTGCTAATTTTTGCGTTTTTGTTGTTTTCCATTCTCAGTGCATAAGCCTTGCACGCGCCTCCAACATATTCTTTTATTTCAGATCCTGCGTACTCTCGTGCCAAATCACCCAGATGAGGACCGGTTTGGAGCGGGCATTCCATGTTCTTTGGGTAAGAGAATAATATGCTGTCAGTGTCCCCATAGAGCAGATTGCAGTCAAGTTTTCCGGTAACCTTTTGCATTGCTTTCAATAGCCTAATTCTTGCTGCTGACGTTGTCCATAAGGAAATCACAATATTTGAAGTGTCATGTTCAACAATAAATTCATCTTTTGGTTTGTAGGTTATTATTACTGTCTCTTCGGTTAATTTATCTACAGATTGCAATTCAATTGATTTGTTGTAATAATATTCTCGAAGTTCATCTGGTGCATCTGTAATCACAGTTTTTGACAAGGTATTCCTCAGACTGAATCTTCCCCACAGAGAGTTTAACATTAGTTTTGAAATGTAGCGCATTGCCTTGTCTGGGACCATTTTTTCTTTTTGAAGTTCAATACCAAATTTTTCTTTGCATTCTTTTATGAAATCATCTTCACTATCTTTTCCTTCTATTCCTTCAGGGAAGCCACTCGCATGAATCTTCATTGCCATAAACTCAGCCACATAATTTTTGAATAAATTTTCATCCCATTTGTCATAATGTAAGGCTCTATAAAATCTTGTAACGGTGTACCCAACTTTTAATGCTTCTTCCAATTCAATCGATGTAACTGTTGAAACCCACCCTCTTTCATCATCATTGTGTGGACAGTGGTAGTCTTTGATGTTTGCGCCATTTGGGTATGTGAGTGAGCATTTTCTACACAGTGGGAAAAGAAGTCGTTCATCAAACTTGACCGGAATTACAGGAACATCCAGTTGAGGCGGTGGTAATATAAATACTTTCAAAATTCCTTTGAACATGATTTGCTCGCTTCTTGTCCAATAAACTTTTTGTTCAGATAGTGGTACAACATGTACTTTCGGATGCCCAACCGGAAATGATGTCGTAGCAATTGTTGAGGGGTAAAGTGAATTAAAGTCTAAGTAGGCAATTTTATGTTGTTCCTTTTCTGCATCAAAGTACATTTGTAAGGTTCGTATAAAAATCGCCATCTTGAATACATTAAGTAATCTGTTCGATTATGTTTTCCAGATTTGAACTTTTCGTCCCAAAGATCCCAACGTAGAATCCAACGCCCCATATTTTTTATTTCACGTTTTCTTGCTGAGTCTGTTTTGTTCAGATGATAGATATCCTTTACAATCCATTTCTTAAGTAATCTTTCCCCTACATCAGCTTTATTCATCGACTGATTGCTTAATTTATCTAAGCACTATAATTCCCCACCTTCTGAATGTGCACTTTGAATTTCAACGCCTCTTGTTTCCTCATACCATTGTAGATATTTCAGGGCAAGCTCGCTTTGGTTATCGATGTTTTCATATCCTTTCTCCGGAACAATTGCCAAATGGTCAGGTTTTATTTATTTATTTATTTATCAGCAAACCACAGGTATTTTAAAATACATTAATGTGGTGCAAAAAAAAACATAAAAATAAATTAATGTCAAAAAAAAAATATATATATGTATGAAACAACATCAAAAAAAAAAAATTATATGTATTAAAAAATGAAAAG